CCGTGACATTAAGCACCAACTGTTCAGAAAGTGAAAGCATGATTTTAAACGACATCTATTCATTGATCTTGAATTTATTAGTGAGCATTTTAAAAGTTTCCCTACTGATAGAATTTGTCATAATTCACCAAAATTTGAAAGCCAAAATACTGAGAAATGAATTAACCTGTCCCACATGTTATGCAGTATAGCAGGCAAATACATGTATTGTTTATGCCAGTACAGCAAAGTATGTGCAATTTTGTGTCTGACATGCAGGATATAATGCATGTTTTCTCAGGCAGGTGGCAAGGTGTTTGCTTGTGAACAGGGCCTTTGTACTGTCAGAGCACCTTTTTATTTTCCATGGTTCTCATATCTTTTTTCAATTGAGGGAGGGTCGGTTAGTCGAAGAAGTTCTTCCTATAACCAATCCATGTTGCTTCCATAGAAATGATTGAATAAACCAGGCAAAGTGCATCATGTGTGCTTGTGCCTTGTTTTTATATCATGGACCATGAGTGTCTTTATTTTTAGCAAAGTACAGAGAAATATTTTTATTGGTAAACAACACAATATCTCATCGGAGTTAGTGTCAAGACAGCGTACGGTGTTCATGTAGGCAGTGCGTACGTACACGGTGCATGTAAGTTTCGGTATTTCTTATTGCACTCTGTAGATGTAGTACATTGGGTGTGTTGCCACTCGGGGGCTGTGGTGCCGTACCGTGGATTTCGACTCGCTGCATTGATGTCTGGGCAAAATCATATCACATGTATACAAGATACACATATTTTCAGTGCAGTTTTTCATACAGGTCATCACAACCTACTATTTTGTTCATAAGCAAGGCCTTTGAGATGAATCTGGTGAAAAGGGCTTTTTTTCAAGGTTGGGGGCCAAAGTAGGGTCCTCGGAAACAAGAACCACGGAATTTTAAAATGACGCCCTTACAAAGGTGCAATGGTGATAAAGTCATTCCATCTTACTGCTAAATACCACTCATGTGCTCCTATTTTCTGAAAGCTTGTTCTAAAGCTAATCATTATCACAGATGTAACACAAATCTTACCAGACACGTGCAGGGTTTTTTATATTTTCTAGTTCTTGCAATATTAGCAGAGCCGTAGGTTTTTTCCAGATTATTTCACTCAGTGTATTTTATGGTCAGTCGTATCCCGAGCCCAAACCTGAGTGCGTCCATGGTTTGTCAGTGTGTCAACCCATTTCCAAGGCAGTTCCCCGACTCCAGACCCCTCTATCCGGAGTATTACACGCATACAACAATATAGTGATTGACAGTCGAACCTCGTTAATAAGAGGTCCTTTGGACTTGGCAGACTACCTTGTCATAACAGGAAACTTGTATTATTAGGAATCAGAACAAAGGACTGAGACCCCCAAAATTTCCATGTTGTCGCAATCTTGTGCAGTGCTCGACTGTATTTCTAATGCCCCAACTCTGGGTGCAGTGTCCCAATTCAAGGAAAATTCTCCATCAGGCCGAAAAGTACCCCTACAGATTCTTTCGAAAAGAGGGGTCTGTTTGGGGCAAGGAATGGTGGGATTGCGTCAGTATGGCCCAGGATCATCTCTGTAGATTCAGGGGCACCCATCCGGGGGAAAGCAGACAAAAATGTAATTTAAAATTAGTCAGGAAAGCCCCAGGAAGGTGAGGGATGTCATTTGAAAATGGCTGCTGAGAAGACTTGGGAACTTCAACTTTTTGGGGGTGAGTTTGTTTTTGACGGATAATTAAAAAATTCATTTGTTAACCTACTAAAAATTGAAAAACAAATGAAATCTGAAGGACCAAACAACACATTGTTTTTTGTTTGAGAGGCCTCAGGGACTTCAGTTGCCCGCCATGGGGCTCCAAACTTGGTTAATTTTACACTATTTTCAATGGAGCTTGAATTAGTTCAGTGCACCCCTATAGCATAAGTCCGAACTATAGTTGGGCCCGTCCCAACAAGAGTGGGCTGGCACAACTACAGCAGAGAGGTCCTGTGTGCATGATGTGCCCAAATGTCATGTGATCCGTCATAGGGCTTGATGAACAGATGAAGTGCCACATTGTATAAGGTCGAGATTTCCCACAGACATTGGTCAATAATAGTTGTGCCAGCCCAACTGCGGCACTACAGTTGGGGCTGTCCGAACTATAGTTGGGACTTATGCTGTAGTTGGGGCGTAACGTATTTACCGTGACAGCTAGGCCGTTTTCCAATACTCAATTCGGCTCCATTTCAGGCTTCAACTTTTTTTAGCTGACTTTGAACCCGTAAGCGCTGTAATTAGTCTAATTGTGCCACAAAACATCAAATAAGATGTAATAGAGCCAAAAATTGCAGTAATTCAATGTAATTTGAACGCTTCAGGCCCACAATTGGGGATTGATTTTAGAATGAAGCCTCCGACGGAACGAATTGACTACAAGTATTGGAAAACGGCCCCAGCATGCTTCGTTCTTGAGATTGCGCAATAATTCGGATGGGAATTCCCCATACTTTGAGTCTGGTTGAAAGAATGTAGACATTGACAATAGCTATGGGAATTGGAAATCATGATGGGGAACCAGACTACTGAAAGATTGAGGAGTTTACGTACTGTGCATGTACATTCCTCCATGATATACCCGAATGCTTAAGCGGTCAGCCACAATTCATAACACCTCTTGACAAGTTTGCACCCTTCAGTGGTACCTTTTATGTGGAAATAATAGCTTAATCGCTGAAATCACCGGTTTGTGACGGAAAAAAATAAAGTCCGTTGGGTTTTTAGCAGTTTAGGGAAGCAAGATCTGGCGACGCCACTGCACATGAGTTAGCAGGCTACTGCACAGGTACTTAGAAAACAGGCCTGTAGGCTGTAGCGTTAAAAGCGATACTGACGTCATTTAAAAGTTATTTTTAGATCTTGACTATTGGACAAACAGGTGAGGTGAGCACGATCCCTTTATCTATCTATAAAATCTTCAATAAAAATGCAATGATTTTCTGGAATTGGACTACTTCCTATCATCGACAGTCAGTACATGTAACAGCAGTTCCTTTCAGCTAGGTTCCCGTAAAGTGCATCAAAGAGATTTTGTGGCTGAATCTTTCCAGGTGGTGTGGTTTATTGTATTGCTTGATGTATAGACATGTTGTTATTGTCATCAGTTTTGGAGAACATTTTTTATTATTGCTAACGCTATGTGGGTTTTCGAATAGTTCCCTCAGAAGACCTGAACATGTACACATGAAGGGCTCTGTTGGTGTCTTTCATGCATGCAGAGGGCACAGTGAATGGCTGCCATGGCTGGATGTTGGATAGCCCCAGACTGGGGCTAGTCTACTTAACTACCTCTGTATCATTGGCCCCACGACGGCCCACGCAAAAAGCAGAGACGTCGCAAAAATGCCTTCTATGAGCCCATATTTCATAGACAACTCACCCACCTCATCCAGTCATTGGTCTATCAATCTGGGCAATTATCAGTTTGTTTTTATCCGTGAAAATTTGGTTTGTGTTTGGTCGTCTCAACACGGCCATTACAGCGATTTATTCTCAATCGTTTGACAGGTTATAAACACAGTCGGGATCCATTCGGTCTTGGAACCAGACAGCATTAAAGATGTAGGTCCCAAGAACATGACATTAAAAAACATTAAACAAAGCGAACCGAAATACATGGAATGCTTGGGATCAAGTGTGAAATCATTGCCTGATGCGAGGCGTACACATTCGATTCGCTTGTCCAATCCTGCTATGCTTTGTAATGCTTTTATAGCATTCAGACATACACAAGGCTTTTTGCAGGTGATACAAAGTCACTGATAAAACAGCAATGGAATTACTGTGTTTATTGCTGTCTGGTTCCCAGGCATCACCTGTAGCCATATGTGTTTTTTACCAAATGTTTTGATACAAATGAGTTGCTAGTTGGGATGTTGTAACCTTATCTCTTTTGTTAGTGTGATTTTGCTCTGTAGCAAATTAGCTTACCCTTACAAAAGAGGCCCTTAATTCCTAGCTTATCTCTTTTGTGTATGGTATGGACTCCCCAATTCAATTCTCATTACTCAAGAAAGGCATAAATTTCCATTTTATTGCTGGTTGGGGGTGGGTCCACTTAGTTGCAGCGTCCATGGTGTTGGTCACTTCGCCCCTTAACCACTTCGCAAGCAGTCACTTCACCCACAGTCACCATGTGAAATATTGTGTGTGCCCTGGTGCGGGTGAAATGGGCGAAGTGACAGACGGGCGAAGTGACTGTAAAACCATGAAGGATCGTCTTCCATATTTTAACCCAGCTAAGCATGACGCGTTAATACGCGGAAATGAAAAAACAATTCCTAAACAAATGTACGCCTCCTCCATGGAACGAATGTGGAAAATTGTGGATGTTTAGGTGTCATCCGGCGTCAATATTCTTGACTGAAGAGTCATCTTTTTTGCAGGTTTAACAGAGACTTATTAGTGGAGTGATGAAGACTGTGGCCAGTATATGCATGGTGCTGAAGGTGATGGCTATCATGCCTACATGGATGCAAACTGGGGTCGTTAGTGTACCAGTGGCAAAATTGGCGGTAAGAGATGTACGGTAATTTGGACACCAGTCCTTTCCTAGGTGTGCCTTGCCACAATTTCTCTATATGGGTACATAGTGGATACATGAAGCAGATGGCCGTATTGCTGTGCATGAATGCAGCTCCTTTAGAAACTTTTTTTTTTGAAGATGTGCAGTAAAACATGTTTATGTAGCATCCCCGGTGTAGACTGAATCCACATAAGTCTACACCAAACAGCCTGTTCTAAAGTGTCATAACACAGAAGCCTACTGTAAAAAAGATTTTGAGTCTCCAAAGGAGTGCCATTGGACCTCAGAGATACCGTTTGGTGGCATCCAATCGTTGGTCTTGAGGCGCTATCCCCTGAGGTCAGTGGCCTTATTAGCTCTTAGCTCCTTATTAGCTCCTGTAGCCTAGAGAGGTGAACCTTTTTGCTCTCACCTGTCATCTTAAGCTTCCTACAGAAGTCAGTTTTCAAATCACTCAACCACCACAGGGCTGTCCGATGAACTCTGCTTGGGGATCATCTTAGCCATGTTATAGATGTTTCTGTGTTTGGCAATGGAGCCATTCTCTGTTATTTTTTATTCCTCCTTGGTTGGAGCTAGAGTATGCCTTGTCTGGGAACTAATTTCATGGCAAATGAGGTGAAATGAATGAAGATTAAATCAACTCAATATTTGTCCGGCGGGGGAGGGGGGGATGACTTACGTACATGTAGTGCTTCCCTAGATTCACCTTTTTTTTCTGTACAATTTTCCTCATAGGACAACATGTACATACAGGGTTCTAGCTGGCAAATGTAAAATTTTTGCTAACGCTTTCATGCCTTACACGTACATGCATTTGTGATGCAACCAAACCAATTAAAAGTCAATCCTTCTCAATGTACCCACTGTGCATTCGACTGCATCACTATGGAAACCCAGTGTTGAAATAACCTTTGGTTTGAAAAGTTGTGGAAGTGGAAATATGGAAAGAAGTGGTATTGGACAATCCCATTAGGCCTATTCTGAGATGTACACAAATCTCAAAATGAAAATTCCTGACAATTCAGTTTGCTTGATTGTGTCACATTTTTGAAGCCACTGCTAAATACAGTTTTTTGGTGACCTTTGATGACTTATGGAAATACTGCTCAGAAACTCTACCATGTTTTCTATAGATGGATGTGTACTTTGATTTGAAAGTGCTTTGCAAAAAGAAACTTGAAAATACTGTTTTATTTAGAAGACAGCTTAAAAAGAAAATTCTGAAGATATATTGTGTGGCAAAAATTCCAGATTGTCATGTGACCAATGGTGATGTCACCATGACTTCAGTATTGGAGTGCACATCTTCAGTATAGGACCTACAGTGTATGCATAAACATAGGTCCTATACTAAAATAAATAACATACTTTGCATAAATGTAAAGTTTGGTTGGTGCATGTATCAATGTATCATTATTTGATGTGATTCAGGCCTACCTGACTGAAAGCCTCCTGTGAGTCCTTAACCCTAACACTCCTCAGTCCTCCAACAGGTGAAGGATTGAGGAAGGTTAGGGTTAAGTCTATTTTAAAGACTTTCTTGTTTCAAAACTGCTGTCCATAGCTTTGACCAATTATATTTAAGAAATAGTGTTCTATTATTTGGTGAACTCTATTAACCCTAACAGTCCTCAGTCCCCCAAAATGTGAAGGATTGAGGACTGTTAGTATTAAAGGCAATTTGGGACTTCTTTGAGAAGTGCTGTTAAGGGTCTGTGTTAATTGTTACTGTTGCCTCATCTTATAATTTCTACAGTGCGAAGTAAACAGCATAGATACCAATTTTTGGTATGAATGCTCAAGGCAAATGGAAGAACCCTGTGTTCTAGGCAGGCACCTTAAAATCCCTGAGGCCAACTGTTCAGCTGGGACTGTGGATAAGAATCAATTGTGAGTATTTACTTTAGAAGTGAAATTCATTCTGGGTCATGAGACTACTGAAGGCAGCATTGTGCATGTGGATGTTTGAACATATTGTTGCGCACCCACAATCCTAGTGCCCCAACGTTTTAGTTGCTCTCGTTGCCTTGCATTCCCAGGGTCTCTTATTTAGCTCAGCTATGCATATGGCATTGTAACTGAGGTGCTAATTTTGTATTAAGTTATTCCTGCTGTTCTCCGGCATGATCGCGTGTTCCATTACACCTTTGTCTTTGTGTTTCCTCTGCTCAGTTGGGCATGTTGGAAATTCCTTCTCCTTGTGGCTGCGTGGTTGGGCATGGTACAGTTCCCTTGAACGCTAATATTCGGTTACCTAAGACTTTGTAGCTGTCAGTCATTTTCTAGGATGATTGTGTATAATCTTTGCACCCAAAACTACACTTTGGTACATGTGATGTCGTCTTCTTCTTTGCTGAGTAAGCTACGAGTGCTGTCTTTTCATTTTTAAGGTGTGTCTCATGTCCAGAGGGAACATATTTGGATTTTAGGAATCACTGTGACGAGTGTTTGAAGTGGACAGAATGTGGGCCCGGAATGATGGTAAGTAGTCCACTACATGTCATTCTGCTTCTGAGAAACATTGTATCGGGGCTGAGGCCACTTAACTCTCATGTACAAGGTAAGGAATGCATGGACAAACAGTGCTTCTTACAAAATACAACAGAAAAACTCCTTTTTCCAAAGAGTGTCTGCCAACTTGACAATGGTTCTTGTAGGGTGAAAATCTGTAAATAGTAACAAAAGCACAAATCCATTCATTTAGCTGTTAATCTTTTAGGAAGCGTGATGCATCTTGAAATTTGTTGAACACATTTTAATTTGTTGCTAGATTCCTGGATTATGAAAACTTCTTGATATGGTGGCCCTGCTTTTTGCGAATTTATTCACAAGTAATCCTGAATAGTTTTGCAACGTCATGAACTTATATTATTATGGTTTATTTATTTGAATTAAAAGCAGCCCACAGGCTGAAAACATTTAGATTTACAATAGGTATTTTAGTTAAAGAGTACTTAGAATACATTGAGTCCACCTTTAAATTGTAGATTAAAACATGTTAAAAGGTACAAATCACAACACACAACACAAAACAAAATTATTCATTATCATTGACAAACTAGACATTAAGCGTAGATTCATGACTAGTCAAATTTTCTGGATTAAATATTTCTGTGACATCATTACTTTCTTCAAAGTGTAGATTATTTTTATGAATCTACAGCAAACTGTAGATTTGTAAGTTACCAATCTACAGTTATTGCCACAAAACAATAACCGTAGATTCGTTAGACAATAACCGTAGATTCATTACGAATTTACAGTTAATGTCTCGCTATTCTACAATTACAGTAGATTCATATCAATGAGGGGGCTAGAGCTCACGTCCACTCCTCTCCTCGTTTCAATCATGCAAAGTGCAACTGGAGGGTTGGGTAAGAGTAACATAGAAACTTTACTGCCATGAGACTGATTTTAGTAGGCCTCGTAATAGCCACAGTTAACACATTTTAGAGTTACCGAGAACGCCCACACTCTGGCCTTACAGACCTTATCAATTGTTATTTCAATTTATTTACAGTGACGCACGATGGGTTACTGAAACAGGTCCCAGAGGAAGAAGGAAATACCGCCTCACATGACGTTTAATACACAAGGTCTATTGCATGTTTGCCATTTTGCTCACTGACCTGCATTTTGTTACCTTGGACTGAATTATACATCAGATATGGCCATCCTCCTCGGAATAATGACCACCAATTTTATGGACCCATGAAATTCAATTTCATGTCCAAATTTACCATATAAAGGATGATCAACAAAGATTTTCATGAAGAATGTTGGATTTTAGTATTTAGACCCCTTTTCTTCATTTCTAGTAAGAATTTAACAAACTTAAAACAAAAAAATATTGTTCATGTATGAAATTTGAACCTTCCATGCAGCTGCCTTTTTGGCGATTTAGATTTGGGCTGAAATACAAGAGTGTACTCTTCTTTTGTCAAATTAAACACAAAACCGATTTTCTTCTACTTTTTCATGTTGACACTAACAGTGATATTAATTGTATTCCCATCCTTTGATGAAGACACAAGTTGCCCAGAGGTACTGTTAGCGTGGTCAGCCGAGATATTGCTGGAATCTGAGGCAGAATTACTCTCTGCTGGTTTTAGAGCTTTACTTATGGCTTCCCGTTGTGCATCTGTTGTTCTCTTGTATGATTGCACAGCTGATGAACAATGAGCGGGGATCTCGCAAATGAGCTGTTCATCAAACTGTGGCTGGTACAATCTTGAAGCAGCAGTTGCTCTTAAGGAGTGATTAGAGTAGAACCCCTTTAATCCAGCTTGATCGCACAAGTGTTTTACGGTGTTTGTTAGTTGATGAATACCTTGTGGTTGGCAGCTATACCAAACTTCACCATTTGGTTTGGCAAGGGGGCGAAGGTAGAATGCTGGGGGACACTTTGGCGATGTAGGTCGATGGCGTATGTACTCTTCATAAAATCGTACAATGCATCTCCTGGGATTTGATAGGGTCTCATAGGCATCTACAGTTTGGGGTGTTATTTTCCGGTGCTTTATCCCCCCTTGGCAGGCTTTCGACACGTCCTCTGTGTATCGCAGGAAACGTTTTCCTTCTCTGTTCGTGTGAAGAGAAACTTGTGAATTCCTGAAACGCAAGTGTCTGTGCTCCTCACCGCACGTAGTGCAAAATGGATGCCAAAGAGATACAGCTCTGTGTCAACCAACTTCTGAGGGGAATCCATCGTCAGGATGTTCTTATCCCATAACAGTTGCTCGTTGTCCACACTGATAATTTCGACTTGTTTTCTCTTGACTCAGACACCAGGGGCTGACAGCTCTTTCATTCGAGTGTCAAGGGTTTTTTCAATAAGAAGGTAAATTCTTCATCTTGGAGAAACTGATACTCACGCCTGTGCATAGCCAAATACAGTTGAATACTTAACACCAACTTGTATAATGTCTCACTCGGGTATTCGTCTCCATTAATTTTTCAAACTTCCGAAATGAAACGGGTGACTGTGTAAGTAAGCTCGTCAGTTGTCATCTCAAGTAGTTCTCGTTTTATAGCACTCCGGTTCAGCGAAGGATTTCAATGACGTACTCGTTCTGATTACTTTTCCATTCGTTGAAGGTGCAAACAGCCCATTCACATTTCTTTTCTGTTGCTTTTGAGTACCTGGGGAAAAAGATGCACAGTGACTTTTGATTAAAAATTGATTTGATGGAAACATGCAGTTTTGAGTTTGTTTTGCGCTCTAGAAGCTCAACTGTTAAGTTTATTTATGACATCATTAAGTTAAAAAAAAATACAGTTTGCACACCTTTTTCGTGTTTTTTCTGCAACCTCTTCATCAGTGACTGGGTGTTTGAATCTGCTTTTGCCTTGGACATATTTGTTCTGTACAGTTTTAGACGGAGTAAATACTTGTACATCACTTGTATCATCCAGGATCTCACGTTGTATACATGTATGTCATCGTCAGATATGTCAGACAACTGTAACTTTTCGTTTTAGCAATGTGACACAGTACTGTCATATTCAGCTATATTGTCTCCAAGTTCTTGAAGGAATTTTGCAGCTTGCGAAGTAGTGTCTGTTTCACTCGACGAGCTGTAAGATTTGAAGGTGCTTTGAGTCGAGCAAAATCCCGAACTGTCGCTGTCAGACATGACTTGCCAAGTATACATGTACTTCCACGGATCGAAACATGGATCGTCCAACGTAAACCCAGCAACTGATGCTCTCGGCTGGTGTCTTGGCTATTCATGCACGAGTACCTTACGAATCTACACTCATTGAAAGCACTAAATCTACTTATGCAACAATGGGAAATAGTTTAAGTCAGAGAATAGACTCGGAACTGTAGAATCTTGCAAGAATGGGATCAGCTTCACCTCGCTCATTCTTGGCACAAATCTACAGTTCCTCGTCCATTCTCCTTGACGTAATTGTTTGTATGTTTTGTCTTGAATATTTTCCCAGCAACTTGAAGGGTTCTGCATTGTAGTCTGCAAGATAGCAATATTTACGTTGCATAACAGTAGTCTGGATCTCATCCTCTCTTGTGTGAATTGTTTGACACAGACCCCGACTGCGTTATGACCACTAACAGCGTGAGTGACAGAGCATGCTTTCTGTAAAGCCCAATTTCCGTCATTTTTGCAATAATGACCTCCATTATGGTATATTGCTTGTTTGGAGAATACCCTCTAAGCTGCTGAAAAAATTAAATTAAATTTACAACTGGTCTTGAATTACACGTAATTCGCAATTGATCATGACAATCTTTACGATGTTGTAAAGACATTCACAACAAGTCCTAAATAAATTTGTGGCGTGACAGCAAAAATATTCACAAAGATATTTATGACTAGTCATGGATGAATCCAAGACATCGCAAAAACAATCATAACTAGTGGTGAATGAATTCACAACATCGCAAAAATATTCACAACAGGAATATTGATGTCCCTTCAGGGCCACCATATCTTGAGGATTCAGGATAATGTAGCGTGTCCTGTCTATGGGCTCTGATGCTGACAAGAACTACTCGGTCAGGCTCAAATCTCCGTTCCGGGCAGAACTGCTCTGTTTATTTTCACGAAAGCCAAAGGGCTGTCTGACACACACAGCTCGTTACCAGATGTGTCTAGACGGGGACTGTGCAGGCACGAGGTGGGAAAGCCGCAGGCCGTTCACATACCAGCATGGGCAGCCAGCTAGTTCCATGCGGGTCCGAGCTGGCGCCCCCACCAGCGCTGCAATAATTTCAGGCTAAAATGCGTAGGGGGTGTAGGGAAACCAATCACCAGAGCTTTTTTCACCATTTTTTTTTTTCATTTTATTTTTAACATATCCCCTATACATGTACAATAGTGATATCTATATTTTAAGAGAATGAAATAGAGCAGAAGACTTAGGCTACTCCAGTAACTTACACGTGCATGTATGAGATACACGTACATTTGTGTATTTGGATAAATACTAATAAAATCCTCAATTTGTACAATTGTTTTTAACCTCATTTCAGGAAAACCCAGCCCTTCTACCTAACATTTTGAGGGATAGAGATTGCATTCCAATAACGGGTGAGTCAATTCATGATTGATTAGTCAATTCACATAAATTGACTGATCAGGATCAAGGAATCAAGGATATGGCAAAAGACAATGCTATAGTATAGACACAAATGCACCAGTCATGCCAGTACCAGTGTTCCAGGGTCCATTATCATGCTCATGTGTTGCATGTACTGTTCCTAGGGTGAGCGTATTGCATTCATTATGCAAAACATTTCAGAATGTTAATCAACTGCGAATCCAGACGTGGTTCGTGCAGAACACGTATTTAGATACCATAGTTTTATTACATTTTCTGGCTCACTTTCAATTCATCCCCTGTACAGGATTGCATTGAATTTTATAGATTTTGTTGAAATGATCTGAGGAACGTTCCATCCTTCTGAAATGTCGTCTTGTTGGCATGCAAATATGTATCATGCTTTCGGATTTGTGCCTACATACATGTATTTTCCATCATTACTGTGTGTCAAGTTTGGATGATGGGATGCAGACAAACTACTTCAAGAACTCAAAGTCACTTCACCATGTGACCTTAGGCCACTGTAGTTTACATGGAGTCTTAACGCTATGGGTTTTTGAATCGGAAAAATTTTGAGGTAAATGATCCGGTAGCTTGTCCTCCTTTTCAATCAAATTTTTCCATGAGAGCAAGCTTGAGGTCCCTGCAGCTCTTGAAAAGGGTGTAACCAAGGGTTTCAGAGCATGAAACATCTGAGATTTTCAATTACCAGTCTCTTGTTTCCACCCAACCACAATTGCACCGTTCATGCTGTTTGTGGTTATCGCATTGTGCATGCATTGGGCCGGCCAATGACCAAGCTTGCTGCGCATCTTGGTTTGGCTATTTTTGGATGTGGGGGGCATTTCTAAGATCTTGCAATCTGTCGCAGCTATACAGCACAATGCCTATTGGGCGGCCTTATAGTTTGAGCTACAAGTCACTCAGTAAAGACCGTCGCGTAATGAAAACAAGATGGCAACCCCTGCCTCTGAAAATAGTCACACCAAGATGTGGAGCAAGCTTGGCCATAATTCATGCACAAAGTAAAAAACACAAATGGCATGAACGGTGCAATGCCTTAATAGTCGTCCCTACTTGTCCTTGCTTGGGAAGCACAAGGGGCACATCCAGGAATTTTCCGGAGGGGGGGTGTGTCCTGGTCCCTCATATATTTTGAATGTCAGATTTCTGCAGATAGGTGGGCACATGTTATGCGTTACATTGTTACTGATAGACAAATGATAACTCTTCCAGATGTCAGGGTGTTCCAGTGTCAGAGCCAGGGGGGGACCCCAATCCCCCCCCTCCTGGATCTGTGCCTGTACAATGCGATTCCAGTCTGACGATGATTCTATCTAGGAATGTGGTTTCATTTTTTGTAGTGTTGCTACAGTATTTTCATCATTCTGTTCAATTTCAGTGGTTGCCTTTTTGGTCCAATTTTGGCTCATAATACATCTGATACCCAGAACCATGTCCCCCACCTGTCCATATTCCAGGTTAATAGGTCACACTGCCTTCACGTTCCTTGTCCAAGATGTTGGAGGCTGTGCAGACATGCACGTATGAAAAATGTAGAACATTACGTTCTTCATTGATTTCGTCTCTTGTTTGACATTTACGTTCTGATCAACTTTTTATATTTGAACTAGCATTCACAGGCACTCAGTCCCTGAGTGCTCAGCCAGAAATATCTGATAACATTTCAACATCAACTGCAGATGCATCCAACGAAATGAATATGTCCCACCCCATGGGTAGGTATTAAGAACCATTCTTCCCAGCTCATTTCAAGAGATAATTTTAGATTGATTTACGAACAAGGCATAAAAGTAAATATCAAATAGCGACAGGTTAGCATGGGTCCCTTTGTTGGAAGGGGTCCAATGGGAAACAGTGCTCTTTGAAGGAGTTGTTTTGTAAACTGTTTCTAGAAGAAACCTGTATGTTACATTTTTTGTTTTGTACTTTTTAAAATAAAGATGAAAAGCATATGGTCATTGACCATCTTTTTTCTGAGAAGAAAGTACCTGGATTTTAAATTTTCTTGGTTATGTGGCTCTCAATCGATGTGTTACAGCAAGTTCTGTACAAACACTTTTCTGTTGAACCACAATCAGTATCAAGTGTCATACTGTTACTATTCATATCCTAGTTAATAGTAACATGAGAAACCACAATGTAAATTCTGTCATGTGAAATGAACAAGAAACCTTGCACCGGTAGATCACTTCCATGCCTAACATTTTAATACAATTTCATACTTTGCAAACTTTAGAAGAAAAGCAGTTGACTAGGAATGATGTCAGTTTTAGAACTTTATTTACAGTTGCCCGTCGTTTCATGTAACATATGTGCCAAATGTTGCTGGGATAGTATTGATGATGTCCTGACCAAACTTTGTATCTCAATGAACGCAATCAAGCTCACTACAGGGCAGGAAAACAGTTGTCAAATTTAGGCCTACGTGGACCACTTGGGACCCTTCGAAAGAAATATCCATGCATTAGCAAAAATGCTAATGCCAGGAAGGGAGAGGGATTTCAGTATATCCTTAATTCTGATCGAATAAAGCTTGATGTATTTTGTCAAAACTTTTCACAGGAAATTCTTCGTTGCCTGCTCCACAGCCAATGGATGATGATGATATCGGTTACAAGGCGGCCATCGGGGGCTTAGCTGGCTTAGTTCTTGTCCTCATTGTAATTCTGGTTGTCATAGCAGTCAAATGCCACCTTGGGAGGAAATCAGTGGAATGGAAACGGGACTGTGACCAGCAACAAGAACAGCCCCAGGGTTTGTTGTTGATCATTTGTCAACTTCTTGCATATGAAATTCATCTTAATTCTTCTTATTTCTATTTAGAAAGTTTGGGGAAAGTTAAGGGCTTGGTGCCTTTAAAAAGAAATGTTGTGCCCCCTCACGGCTCCTTTAGGGTTAATTTTTCAATCAGCTCGTCTGTTGCAGTGACCTATCCATGTGTAATTGCCGCTGAAACTTATCAAGCACTCACAGCTGTAGTGACAAACGAGGTAATACCAAAGATAATGTCAAGTTTGGTGAATGTCATGGCCAATTATAACTGTACATGTCATGGTGTGCCCGGTGAAAGGTCGTAAGTGCACTTATGCCCTTATGCCTGGAAGCATAACCGCTGTAGAAAAACAGTTCCATGTAAAAGGGTGTAAGAAACACACTGTCTTTATTAAGTAAAAACGGTTAAAATTTACTACAAAATTAACACAGGCTGTGCAAAAAGCAATCTTTGAACAACTTATCAAATGACTTGGGAAATTGTTTTGGAACTATTTACAAAGAAATCTTTATATTTCATTAAAATAAAACAGTTTCACATATACGTCCTCAGGTTGTAAGCTCTTACAACTTTTTTCCGGGCACACGACTATATGAGAGTCGTCCAGTTGTCCAAATAACAGGTTTCCAGATGGGAAATAACACCTGAAACATACAGATACTTGTTGAGTTATTTTTCTGATTTTATTCTTTATGCCATATTGGAGTTACAGAAAGCAACATCCATCCCTTCTGAATTTTACATAATCACGTTGATGGTGGCTTAATGTACTGATGATGTGATTTCTTTCCCACAGAACCACAGATTCATCGGAATGCAAGAGGGGCATCTGCTGACAACAGAGATGATGCTGATGGAAATCAAGAAGAAGAAGCACGTCATCTTCTTGCTGAAGATCCCCCTCCCTCATCATCTTCAAGGGGCGATGGACAGGCCCACAGTGCTGAGGCTAGCCGTGCAACAGTGATGGTACACCCTCCCCCGGCCAGTGTCAACAGTCCTCCAACCAGTGGCCCAGTAAATTGTGGGAGCCCAGATGCAGCTTCAAATGGTAGTGCCGTTAAATTTTGTAACAAAATTATACGTTTATTTAATAAACGGTGGTTGGGGATGTTGGACTGAATCTTTCCTCTCGGCCATGCGTTTGCATGGTTTATGGCAGGATTCAATTTGCAGATCCAAATTCTGTATATTCAAAATTTCCGCCTTGTTGGACAGAACATCTGTCAGCAACTGTAAAATGGTCCTTGTGAGACAAAGACCCTGAACACTTCAAAGGAAGTGAGGTTGAAGGGTCTTGTACTTTATTTGAATGGCCAATCAGCCTACAGAGTTGTTTTAGAATTAAAATTACTACAGTCTGTAATCCCCTTGGTGTATGTCCATAGCAACCTTTAGCTTTGCCTTGAGCACTGTGCACTCCTTTGATGTATAAACAATAACGTTTTATACTGATGATAGTTATTCGCTATCTTTGCTCTGTAGAACCTGTTTACAGTGGTGATTTTGTGCATTTTCCCTTGGGCAGTTGAGATGGCCGCTTTGCAAATGTCGCGCTTGGTGTATTTCAGAGTTCATAGGTTTGTGTTCAGTTAAAGGGCAAAGGAGTGGCTTATGTGTGAGCAATAGCCTGAAGTATTTGCAAGCTGAAAATCTAAACGGCCCACTGTCTCATCTAATTTCGATCTCTGCTGGTGCTGTAATTGATCTCTGGCAATTATCAATGTGTGTCTACATGTAGCTATGTAACTCTTCCTACGACTTCTCTGCAGACATTTTGGCCGACTCTTACCTCTCCTGGCTTGCTAAACAAATTACGCCAAAAGAGAAAGTTGCCTTGAGCACTCAGCTGGGATTCAACGATGCCCAGCTGAAATGTGTTGAGACAGAGTATCAAGGTGACACCCGTCGACAGAATTACGAGATGCTGCTCAACTGGCGTAAGCGAGCAGAAGGGGACGGTCTGTCCAAAGTCAGGCAGCTCGGTCAAGCTCTAGCCAATGAACAAGTCGGACGCACTGACCTTAGGGACGAGTTATTCAGTCGTTATGGTATGTAGCTATCTGTATATTACACACTTCTCATTATAGTCGTTTTTGATAGCATTGCCTCACTTTGGGCAGAGAAGGCCATTCTTGATTCTCAGTTTTTCATTTTGTTTTTGGTCACTGTGAACAAGGGCCCTGTTGCAAATCTGAGATTACAACCCATTCAACAAAACAATTTAGAATCCAAGTTAACGTTCTTAGAGCGCCGTTCACGATTGTTGCAAATCTGGCTGTGGGAAGCATATAGAAGCACACTTAAGGTAATTGTTAGCATCATATGTATCTTTGTAATACGCTTGTTTTGCATGAGTGATTTTGGTCGGTTGTATTTTGTGTATGAGCTGGAGAGGAAAAGCGCGCATTTTAAATAGGACAACATGTCCACTTTGTCACAGTAACATTGGTGCTGGGTGGATGGTTTTGTATCACAACACCACCTTTGTTGTGTTGTCAGCCCTTTTTGTGTGAAAAACCAGAGCCTGTTTTGCTGACGGTAAGTTCCCCTCAATTACATTTAATTTGAAACTTTGTGCAACCTGTTAACTTCATTACGAAAAACTGTCGTTTATTTGCCTTATTGTATTATTTAAACCTGACTTTACTACTCACAGTTATGTAAGATGACTTTCTAGATTCAAGCAAACTTGTGAAAATTTTTATTTGTGTTTTAATTTTGATCTTGCTACAAATTATTTTAATTCTTTTGGAGTAGGATTTGACCATACCCAGTTGTGCACTAAAGGTGCTTCTGTGAGGGGTGATTGACGACAGTCATTGGACGTTCCAGACAACTGTGGTAGATGCTACCCTTTCTACAGTGTCAGTGACTACATTTACATGAAGTCCTCGGCGGCTTTGTTATTTCAAGCGCAGTCTCCATTAGTCCAGTACAAAGGACTTTTCCTGGCAGAAGTACCAAGCAAGGTTGGTGCAGATGACAGAAGATTCATCACCATATGGCACGGAAATATAAAGACTGAGCACTGAACATCAACCGCATGAAATCAGGAAATGTATGAGTCATGGCTTAATGTAACGATGGGCATGGTAGGTTTAAAAGGCATTGAATCATATTAGGCCTGAACGAAGCATGGATTAAAAGCTCACGTTATAAATTGTGGTCAAACTATTTTCCGAATTTCTCACTGAGCATTATTTGTCTCGGGTGGTTTACAGAATTCTGTTATGGCATGTTTAAATTTTATTACTTAAACAGTATGCATGTTCTCCAGGCAAGTGCATATTCATGCTGAAATTCAAGGTACGTATCTGAATGAAATCACTGAAGCTGAGCACATGCATGTACATGTTTCCTTTCTAAAATTTCTGTTTACCATATTTAATCTGCACTTAGTTGCTTTTGTTCCTTTTTTTCAAAGCTTTGCATGCTGCATGGTTGTTTTAAGTTAAAGTCTTGCATGCTGTATGGCTGTTTGAAAGTTACTTTTGCTTAATATAAAGCTATTTATGGTTACTTGAAAGTAATTTTGTTTACTTCTGTTTAAGTTGTTACTCGTTGGATTGCTGTTTGTATACATGTACCTGCACTTATATCCTTGTCATCTGTACTTTGTTTTATATTTTATTTATTTTTTTGTTTCATGTTAATAAATAACTATGTTTGTGTTTTTCATTTGATGATTTTGTCCATTGTGCCATCATTATGTGTTTCGCACTTGGTGGGCCAAGACCTTCATTTAAATTTTCTTTCCTCTTTTTTTTTTGGGGGGGGGTTGCCACATTTGTCATGACACGGAGCAGTATAGCCTTTGTCAATTCGTCTCAGGGCAGCGTACGCCAGCACACACCTGCTGCTCGAAATCAAGGCAAAGAGCGACCTCACACGGTTTAAGAAATATGCAAATCAGCCGAACCAGGATGAACGCCTTGGTGCAGCCGTCCACAGAAGCTTATGTTTTTCTTTACTTTTGCACTAGGTGCACAATGCGGTGTGCTGCGGTGTGCTGCGGTGTGCTGCTGCTGCGACGAATGCCTAGACCAAGGCTAAGAGCAGTAAGGTCTCGCCCAAGACCTAGACGCAGTGCACCCTTCACAATCAATCACACCGTTTTGCCATTCAGCTCCCATCTTCCCAAATCTTCCGGAACTATCCAGAGGATTTGGGAGGATTGAGGAAGGTAAGGATTAGGGCACAAAGATGGTGCCATTGGGTTTAATACCCCACACTGCTGGATTTTGGAGATTGGCTTGGTTCCTGCCAAGTATGCCCAGGGTATGAGCCCTGAGCTGAACCAAGAGAGGGCCCAATTTCTCTACCAAAGGAGGCTCCTTTGGTGGGAACTGCACTTCGCTGTTTTACAAAATACTGTAAAATGCATGCGTAAACCACTTGCTACTGGGTGGTTTGCAAAATGCAGTGCACATAATCGGGACCTTTTCAGGATTGTCCATTTTCAAAATTCTTCAAAAATCATGTTTTCCTTTACTGGACGTTTACACCCACATTAACGAGTGTCAGTATTCTGAAAGGCAACCTTCATTGACGACCGAGTATTCAGCCCAGGCCTGCCGCCCTGTAAAGGAGAGCCCCGAATTGTGAGGTGTTGCATAATTTCCTTTGTTCCGGGGAATGCCAGAAGCGTCTTTTCATACGTAGCTGGATTAGCGAGCAGCGGTGCTGTATCACTCATCATTGGGGCTCTGGAGCACTCTCGTCCTCGGTGCTAATGCGCAGGCGTGCTATGCCCAAAACAGTGGTAAACTGTTTCAAAACAGTGCCGGATTACCTTCGAAAAATGGAAGTCGAAAAATGATGGCAATTCCCAGCAGAAGGCCCTTTGTTCCGAGTACAGTCTTTTGTTACACAGACCAGCTCTTTTGTTCGAAACCGGGCACCCCGGCTCTGCGTATAAACACACGGTGCCCAAAAACGGGCTCTCCAGCCGGAAGTGGTTAAGGTTGGGTTGCTACCAACAAAATGAACACTCCCTAGCAACACTGCTCTTTTCAACAAATTAGGGGGTGCCTCTGCTCAAGGCAGATTGAGATTAATGTATTGATCATTCTTACAGGGTTACAAGCCACATCATCCCAGAGACGGGTTTCACAGGACCATAGCAGTAAACCTGATGAGGAGAATGAAGAAAGAGAAGAACGATGCAGTTTCCTTGCCGACAATTCCAGTACTTCATCCTCAAGGGAGGATGGACCAGCCAATAGTGAAGGGCATAACCGTACAAGTGGTGATGTAATTGCTCCCCTTGTGAGTGTCATCGTTCATACAAATGGGCAAGTCATTGAAATGAAGCAAGGTAATGTTTCGCTGGATAAGTGTCATTGAACTTGGTGGCAAAATGAAATGCTGTCTGGTTAATACTGCAAAAAGAAATATATTTCTTCTTGTAACTCAAAGCAAAAAAGGATGGACTGGATTTTGATTTTGGATTTGGGCCACGCAGTTACATATTTTATTGCAGGATTTTTCTTAAATTTTGTGAGAAATATTGGAGAAAGTATCTTGTAGTTATCATTATTACACACCATAAATTATGAATTCCTGTATGCAGTCAGTAAATGGCGTTAAAAGCACTTTTGTATCACAAATTTGTCGATCTGAGTTTTTAAACTATCAATTCAAAAAAAATTTAACCAAAACCTCTTGTATACATTTACAGGGTGCAACTCCAAATTAAATGCAACCCAAATGTGACATTTATTTTCTCCCCAAATGACTGTCAGAAATTGCTGTTTTTGGTATCAAATCAAACTTAGGACATTATGCATTGTGGAAATATTTTCGATTATGTAAATCCTGTTTGACAGAACAAAATTACAAATAGCATTATAAATGAATGTACTGAAAATTGAAATTCTGTGCGAAATAAATGTGTCATGAAATGTAACTCTCGCACGCCATATTATTGTCGGCAGCAAGAGAAGGAGTTGTGCGGTATGTCGATTGCCAGAAATATATCAATATATCAAGTCCTAAATTATCACACAAATGTTTGGATCCTTCTCTCAAAGGTCTTTCTGGCTCTAAACGTGATGAAAGTGATTTCAGAAGGCAACAGTTGTTAATTGTGCAGTTTCAGAGTTTTTCAGAGCTTGGCAGAGATTCCCCTCCAGCATTTAGAACAATGTGCTGCTTTCTATGTTGGAAGAAAGAGCCCGGTTCAGGCATATGGTCCACTGGGATTGTGCACAATGCCGATTTTTAAGTGGTCTTTATGTTTTAAGGGTACTCAGGTAGCTGATATTGACATGAAATGAGTACCTGGTTCCAAAAGAACCCATAAACACACCCCCTAATTGCTGTGGTAAATCCCACTAGGCAGAGCAAATAAGCACTTGTCTTACATGTAATCAAGATCATCTCCTCAATGCATCATTGTTTAAATGAAGTCTTCAGTTTTGAAAAGATGACATCCTAAGTTTCTATTTGATACCAAAACAATTTCTGAGATTTACTTGCGAGAAAATAAATGATTTGGGGTTGTGCCTTTTTTGGGGGGGGAGGAGTTCCCCTGTACCATGCCCTGCTTCTTAAGAGGCAAAACAGCGTGTCCAATTGATGGAATGGAAAAAATAGGTTTTCTACAGAATGAGAGGATCTTTTCATTTGAAATGGCAGAGTTTGATGTTGAATTTATAAGACTGGGTAGTGCTTTATCTGTATAGTTCAAGACACAAATATCAAGTAATGTAATAAAGTAAAACTGACAAACTAGGCCCTGGTTGATTTGTTGTTGAATTGTACGCTGGGAAAACATGAAGGAGATGAAGTACAGTGTGAGCTAATTATTCGTGAAACTACATTTTCTCATATGAAGCAAGATACGGGACAGAGAACACCCTCCTCCTACCGTTTTGTTGGTCATTGTTTAATCAGAATCTCAGGAATTCTTTTCAGACATTTAGGGGGATGAGTTAGGTAACAATACTCTAGGGTGTATAGAGGGATTGGACAGGTGAGGGGGGGTACCCCTCAATCACATATCTTGCTGGGTATAAATTTCCTGCAAGAACCTGTTTTTATATAAACGCAAAACTCCAAGGTTTGAAATTTTATCGCTGACATCTCTCCTGAATTCACAAATGCGGAAGTGATATTCATTTGCAAAATGAAATTTTCTTTCTTCAGGGAAAAGGCTGCAACATGCTCAGGGACCAAACAAGCCACAGGGAAGGAATGACGTTCGGTCACAAACGGATGAGACGGAGATGTAAACCATTTGAAATGTTGCCCATAAAAGCTGCCAGAAAGGGCCATCAAATGTGTGTGCATACATACAGCGCACAAGCCTTGAGCAGGGGGGCGCATGGCTTTCCCATGCCTCCCTTCTCAGTTACACCACTATATGTGTGCATGCTTCATTCGTACAGTGTCCCTTCATTTGTACAGTTTACCTAAATTTAATGATGTCAACCTCTGGCAAGCCTGAAATACAATTTGCTGAACTACACAAGTGTTAAAGTTCTGGTTCAAATTCTGATTTTTGTTGGCAGATACCTGTACATATTAGCAAATTGGCCACTAGATAATTAGCTTTTACTAATTAGCTTTTACATCTGAATACTTGTATCATGGAAGTGCTGCATACACAAGCTACATTTTTATGTACTTGGTTTAGTATTTTAACAATATTTCTTGCAATGTGAAGTTGTTCCATTCCAATTTATTTTTCTGTCCAGTTTTTATTAAAGTGCTTTCCCCTTATGGGATTTCTTAAAATGTGAGAGCGTCGTCAGTGTTAACTTTCAACAAAACGTGTATGCTGTGGTATCAGAACCTCTGTAACGCTACCGTCATGGCACAGCAGCTGGAAATCTGTCTGCCAATGAAGGAGGATTTGTCTGTTCAGACACTGGGCTTAATTAAATGGAATGAACCAATAGTAACATGTAAGATCTCACGAAAACTCTATTTATTCAACTATCTCAAGTGGTACAGTAGTATCCCTAAGTTACAAATTTCCCTTGTTTGTATTATTAAATTCCAGTGTACCAGTGTCTACAAAATTAATTTTCCCAAATATAATTTGGGAATATAACTAATTTCTACATGTACAAGTGTACTGTAATTTCTGCAAAAATCAGGAGGGGGATCCCTCCACTGCATTCCTATTATGGTAGCCATTATCTCTTGACAGTGATGAGTAGAACAGAGTCTATCATCACGTCAAAAGTTTTTCAAAAGACCGGCAAAAGGCAGCTTATGTCAAGCAACAGATTGACCCATAAGAAGAAACCGACAGTGACTAGGGCACAAACAAGCTGCACACCAAGTGATGAGATCCAAAGCCCCCTGAAATTTGGCAGGCCTGGCATTACACGTACATGTATGCAGCTCAAAAACTTGCATGAAGTATTGTAATAACAAATGACTTAATCATTTCATTTGGAACATTTTGTTCCCCATTTTTGTTGTAACAAGTTGTACAAATTGCCCTCCATACATGTGACCTGATTCTAAATTTTGGAGAATACATTATTTTCCCTCCATCACATGGAGCAGTCAAACTTAGCTCGGTGAAATTGAGTCCATGTACGCAATATGCTTAGGTCACTGTGATTAGAGGATTCTTTTTCCTTACTCTGCTAGAGCCAGAGAGTAACCGTCAGTAGTCTTTTATTTATACAGACTGTTCTGGCCCTCCATGATCATTAGCCTCATGCCACTGGTGTTACTTGCATCTGGTTATATAAAAACCAGGCTGCAAGAAATTCAGCAGGGATTCTTGTGACTGGAACACACAGGAGAATCTCCAGAGCCGTGGGATGTTCCATGTAATCTTTTGGTTCTGTATGTAAGTCTCTCTATTTGTTTCTTGATTAAAAACTTGGGTCGATCCATGCCGGCCATTCCTTTTCTACTTGATTTGACTGTTACCTTGCATGAGGTTTGGGCATTTCTCGTTACAGGTCTATTTGTTGGGGAGGGTGACGCCCGCATTGAGGCTGAATTTCTGGCAATTGAAAAACTTACACTGCACGTATTTTGAATTTGCTAATGTTCAGAAGCATATCACACTCATGCAACCCTGTTGAATGCTACTTGATGACAGGAAACAATTGGCTCAGTAATTTTATTCAATTATTTATTATCTGTACTTGTTTGTAAATATTAAAATAATTTGTTCTTTGACCCCTTCTCGGCGGGAATTTCTTTCCGAGAGCCGACTCCAAGAATTCCAGCCACGCTTGGCCACGAAGGCCACCTGCCAAACTGCAAATTCTCGGTTTGTGGCCCAGCGTGCTCTGCACGCTTTGAATTACACAGTGAAAAGGCTGATTGTTCGGTGGCATGCGGCTCTACTCAAGCTTCCACATTCCCCTTGCCTCTTTTCCAAGTTGGGACTATTGTGAAGCTGGTGATTATGATGCAAATTCGGTCTTTTCATTTCTGGACTACACACAAAGGCCAATTACCATATATACATGAGCCATGGTCTGCCTTCTTTCACCGTGTTCGCTCGAACGTGGGCCGAGAATAATAGCTGAAAAGCGGGCTGAGGATCTCAATTTTTACGGCGTGTTTTAACGCGTCCCGGCATGAAGGGGTTAACCCTCCTTTGGTTTTACAGCACAAATATGCACTAGTGCCCACAGTCACTCTTCTGCATGTATTTTCTACATGGAACTCAAACATGCACAGGTTCAGTGTGTACACGGTTGGTTGCCAGCACAAACTGACACAGGGTCTTTTATGCAGTCCTCTT